CACAATTTCTTGGGGGCCAGCAGGTGGCATGGAGGTTAGGGTACTGGATCTCACATGGCTGGCTATGCAGTTTGAGTCTCGAACTTGATGACTTGAAAATCATGCTTGGGCATATACATGCATGTCCAAGATCCCACGAAGAGATAGAGGAAAAGGAACTGTGGCATGGCCATCCCCCGGGGGGTAATTTTTCACTTTAACACTCTCTCTCTCTCTCTTTCTCCCAAGTGCATGTACCCTGAAGCCAAAAAAAAAAAAAAAAAGTTTCTTGAGTGTGATTGGTATTTATAATAAACACTTTTCCATAGATCTGCCTATTAATGTCTCTGTGACATTACATGGAGTAGATAAAATATAAGACCCTTATTATTGAACATTTTGGTTGCTTTTCACTGCTATAAGTTACATTTAAACTAGAAACTCATTGAACTGGCTCTTTGGCACAGAGGTTATACACTGATGAAGAGAAGCCAGATCCCACATGGTGACAGTGGTTCAAATCCCTAGTCTAGTCGGACTGAAACACACTGGGCATACATGCAAGTGCCCAAGATCCAATGGGCTGGAGGTAGGGGACTGTGGCCTGACCACACTCTGTGGAGGATGCTCTCTTTCTCCCTCTTTACTGTTCTCACGTATGTGCACATATGCTTTGTCATGAATAAAGAAAAAAAGTTTAAAAACAGCTAGAGGGCTGGACCTGTGGCCTAGGATTTCACATGACTGACCACACAGTTTGACTCTTAGCCCTGGTAGCTTAAAAAATACACCAGGTGCATGTGTGTATGTGTCCAAAATCCCAACAGGATGGAGAAATGAAAAGAAGGAATTGCAGCATAACCATACCCCACTGGGTGTGTTCCTGCTCTTCTGGTACTATAGATGCCCTCTGGCAAATTAAAAAAACAAACAAAAACAACTAGAAACTCAAACCTGCTTATCAGAACAAGCTTTCCTAAGCTGGCGTCTCTTGTTTTTAAAACTGTAAAGTAGGAGTTATAGAACTGTCAGTCATTCTTCGGACTGTTCAGCAAAGTATGTATTATTGTTCTATGTCTTGTTCAACTTTTCCCCCTTTATTTAACACAAACAATGATGAGTTCAGTATTTTGCAAAACATTCTGTTTGCCTGAAATTATACATAAATCTTTTCATTTTCTTGATTTCAGTAGATGTACCTTACTTTGACAACCTTCCTCAAATCAAAGTGGGGCCAGCTAGTGGCATGGTGGTTAAGGTGGTGGGATTCCACATGGCCAACCATGTACTTCGGGTCCTAGACCTGGCAGCTTAAAAAACACCAGGCATATGTACGTGTATGCATGCCCAAAATCTCAAGAGGAGAATGGAGGAGAAGAGATTGCTATGTGCCTCCGCCCCCGGATGCTTTCTCACTTTCCCTCTCTTTCTCTTTCTCTCTCTGGTGGGCACATATGCCCTATACCAAATTTTAAACAAATAATATAAAAAATAAGTAAATGACGTTAAAAGTGGTCCCCATATCATTGAGTATGATCTGAATTCTGTTACGTTAAAATTAGTGGAAGATATTAACTTTCAAAATAATTACTATGTAAATAGTAATTTTGTTCTGCTTCTGGAATCCTAGGAGAAAGAAGAACTTACCCAGAAGAGCGAATGCCCCTGCCAGCTCCTTCACTAAGTCACCAGCCACCTCCAACTCCACGGGTTGAGAAGAAACCCGAATCAAAGAACGTGGATGATATTTTGAAGCCACCTGGCCGGGAAAGCAGACCTGAAAGAGTGAGTCCTATGAGGTTGACTAGTTTTCTTGCAAATCACAAGATAAGAGATCTTTTAAATATTCTGAATGCAGTTTCTCTACTTTTTAGCAAAATAATAATAATGTCAGATTTGGGGACCAGCTGATAGAGTAATGGTTTATGTCATTGGACTCCCACATAGTTGACCATGGTTCAAGTCCCAGACCTGGCGGCTCAAAACTCATACCGGACACGTGTGTGTGTGTGTGTACCTAAGATCCCAAGAGGAGAAGGGAGAAGGGAGAAGGGATTGTAGCATGGCCATTCTCCTTGGAGGCTGATTTCTTGCTTTCTGTATCTCCAAAAAGGGCACGCGCCCTATAGCAAAAAGCTCTCTTAAAAAAAAACACAAGGAACAGCAATTGGTGTAATGGCTATGTCGCTGGACTCCCATGTAGTTGACTGTGGTTTGAGTCCTGGACCTGGTGGCTTAAAATTCACGCCGGGCACATGTGCATGCGTGCGATCCCGAGAGGAGAATGGAGGAGAAGGGATTACGGTGTGGCCATTCCCCCTGGGGAGTGATTTCTTGCTTCCTGTCTCTCTGTCTCTCTATGTCTTTCTGGTGAATGCATGTTCCCCTATAGCAGAAACCTCTCCAAGTAATAATAATAATAATAATAATAATAATAATAATA